TGTCCCCAACACAGAGATCTCTTGGTGGCAGGAGTCACCTAACAGAGTAGACTTAGGGGGTCTGGTGTCCATGGGACGGCAAGTGTGGCTCCACTTGAAGTCTTCCAGAACATTGTTATTATGCAGGTCTCAGGGACATCCTCGGGGAGATAGCTGTTCTGAGCTGTTCTGAGCCATTACGAGCAGTGCTTGTTCCTGGGGCCCTCGGGGACGAGGGCTCACCCTGGGCTTCCTTCCCTCCCGCCCCATGTCTGCCAGGCCTTTGGAGCAGCGGGGCTGAGCAGCGACTACCCGCTGGCTCAGTTCTTTGCCTGGGCCCGAGCGCTGCGCTTTGCCGACGGCCCTGACGAGGTGCACCGAGCGGCAGTGGCCAAGATGGAGTTGAAGCACTGCATTTAGACCGGCAGGGTTGCAGGAGCCAGAACGTCCCTGCTGGACTGGCGGCACCCAGAACTTGAAATGGTGCGCTTTGAAAGGCCTGGGATGTGTGATTCTTGCACCCTGCCCAGCGGCTGTATCCTGGGACAGTCGTTGTGAACTCAACCTTTTTAGGTGCCCACAGAAGACATTTCTGTGAGAAGCCTTGAGTTTGCTGTTTCAGGCAAAGAGGAAGGGGCTTAGCTGAGAGCTGAGTGGGTTTCGGTACAGAGCCTGGCAAGCTGGTCTTCCGTCTTGTAGGGTCACACTTGCCCAGCCCTGGCCTTCCTGCCCTATAACAAACATGTGTCCTTCTGGCCCCCTGCTGGGCAGGACACCTAGCTGTTGGGATTTATAACCATCCAGGGCCTGGCCAGCCCGGATCTTCCCTTCTCTCACTCGAAGAGCCCCGTGAAGGGACACAGAGCCCTCCACAGGAGCTGCTGTTCCTGGGAACACTGGCTGTACCAGGGACAGCCCCTCTGGGCAAGCACATAGCCTTTGTGCCCCTGCCTATATCAGCAGCCCCCTCCCTGCCCACAGTCGCGGTGCGCAGTTCCGTCCAGCTGGCTGCCACTGGAACTCCCTGTAAGTAAGTCCTAATAAACCTACGTGTCTTGTATGCCATCTCCGGGTCTTTTCTTGTTCTCTCTGCTACCTGTCCCGCACTGCTTGCACAACTGGGCGTACGGCCAGACTGTTCTCGGTGCCGGGCTGGGCAGCCCGTGCCCCCTTTCTCTCTGGCCGTGGTGTGAAAAGGCTGTGGGAATCTGGACAAATATTAGGATCCCTGCTGGGGTGGTGTTCCCGTACTTGTTCCCCATACGGGGGGCCTCCTGCTCTGTGGGGCTCTCCCTGGCATCAGAGGGGCAGCCACAATGGGCTACAACCTAAAGACCCAGGGCTGGAGTGCTCCTGGGAAAATCAAATGAAACCAAAATTGTGAGGCCAGTGCCATCTGACTTTCTTCATTTGAATACCCACAACACAGAATACTGATTAAGATGTTATTTTGGAAAGGGCTTTGGGGGCACAAAGAATAAGAAAGTACATCTCAGAGACTTTGTGAACGTTCTGTGTGATACCAAAGGAATTGGGAATAAAGGTTCACACTTCAGCCCGTCTGTCTCAGTGTGTCAGTTGCCTCCTCACACTTGTGTTTACACGGGATCCTGCCCAGTGCATGAGCCCAAACGCGTGGGGGGCACAGACGCTGTGTCCCCTGGTAGGTCCCAAGTCGGCCACCCCACCGCTGCTCATATAAATGTCACCAAAGGACTTTCAGCTTTCCGGTACATGAGGGCCCCCGCACCTTCCACACTCCTCCGTCTGCTCTAGAATCACAGAATGTTTGGGGGGAGGGGAGATGGTAGACAGTATGCTGTTACAATTTAGAGAGCAGCGTTCTCCCGGAGGAGAGTGGAGATGCTCACGTACTTGAGCTCTGAGTTCTTCAAGAAATGGGTGCCCCATGAGCCCAGGCAGCATGTGGAGATTAGCCACTGGCTGCTAGGACCATGTCTGCTAATTTCGTCATTTGTGATGATGTGGCCAACAGCTGCCCATTTCAGGTCAGACCAGATGGTGGGGACCAGGCCCTTCCTGTGCTGCACTGCAGATGTGACCTCCTCCAGGGGACTGCTTCACCTGAGGGAGTGCCCTCCTGCTGCAGCCAGGGCCACACGCCTTCAGGGTGCCGGAGAGTCATGGGGGGCTTGTGAGAGGGCTCCCCAGATACTCCTGCCCCAGCGGTCTGGGGCAGGCACGCCCTCCTCAGCCAAGCTGCTTGTGCTCAGGCAAGGTCAAGTTAAATTCAAACCCCCAAACCAATTGCTATCACACCAGCCACACTGGCAAACAACCTTTTGCAAACTTTGGCAGAGTTCTAGCAGCGTAAGTTCTTGCTTCAAGCTTCAGAGGGAGGAGGGTGTTTTAAAAAAGGAAGTGCCTTGGCCAGTGGCCCTCCGAATTTTTCTCATGGCCCCTGAGGTTAACCTTGCTTGTTAAGTAGTGCAGCTCCAGGGATGAAAATAGAAACCATGCTGTGGGGCGGCCCTCAGATGCTCTGCTGCGGAGGCTGGAGGCACTCAGCGGGACAGTGAATGCTGCCTGAAGAATGCGAGCCACAGAGCTGCGGCCTCCAGCAGCCCCTGCTCCAGGGGCTGCGATTCTGTTAAGTAATTCCACTCACGACTGCCCATTGCACCCCAAATCTGGGCCTGGCACTGGTCTAGGCCTTGGGGAATGTGCAGGGAAACAAAATGGGTAACGTTGCCCTGCTCAAGGAGGTGACCTCTCAAGTCGGGGATGGCAGTGATGCCCCGAGACCCTGGGGGGTGACGTGATAGACGCTGATGGGGGTTAGGGAACTGGGGGCTCAGGAGAGGACTCTTTCCAGAAGAGGCATTTGAGCCAGACCTGCACGACAAGAATGGGCCAGGGTGCTCCAGAAGAAGGAATGGCAAACGCAGAGGCCCTGGGGGTGAAGAGCAGAGAGAATAGGAGGTGTTGGGTCACGTGGAGCCTCAGGAGCCCTGGGCAGGAGTTTGGTGTTGATTGTAAATGTGACAAAATGGTGAGTTTTAGTAGTGGCATGACGTGGTTTGATTTGAGTTTTAAAAAGATCCTTCTGCTCTCCAAAGTTCACCAAGACGAAGAAGGAATAAAGGAGGGTTAGAGCTGGTTCAAAGTCCCCTAGCATATAGAGGGCTCCGAAAGAACCACCTGCCAATTTTTTTTTTTTTGAGGAAGATTGGCCCTGTGCTAACATCTGTTGCCAATCTTCCTCTTTTTCTTTTTTCTCCCCAAAGCCCCAGTACATAGTTGGGTATCGAGTTGTAGCTCTTCTATATGGGACACCGCCTCAGCATGGCTTGACGAGTGGTGAGTAGGTCTGCGCCCAGGATCCGAACCAGCGAACCCAAGGCCGCCGACGCGGAACATGCGAACTTAACCACTACGCGACTGGGCCGGCCCAGCAAATTTTTTTTTTTAAAGACAAGGAAGCGGGTCAGGGCCTTAAGAAGATATGAGCAAAGGATCCAAAGAATAAAGGAAATGGAACCTGGTCCTAATCTGATGTTTTTTCCACCTTCAGCAAATAGTTGGCATTTCTGGTTGGCCCAAGGTGGTGAGTGAGGTGGTGATGCCCTCCACAGTGTGCTTCTCTGGGATGGAAATGAGTGTGGTGGTGGGTGCATGCTTGGATGTGAACAAGCTTGGTGCGGTAATGATTGTACCTGACCGGTTTTATCTGTGGAACACGTAACTTCTTGCCACCCTTCCTACGTGACTGTACTTGCCTTCTTATTAGCCTGGCTTGGGAAAAATATGGTCATAACATAGGAACAAATTTTTTTTTTTTTCCACACAGCTATATTCTATCTCAAAGCAACTAAACACATATTTCCATGCTCCTCTCTTGGAAGGAAGGCATCAGGGGGCTAGATTTCTGTAGGGTTGAGCCCCCGCAGTGGTCCCATGCCAGTCACAGGTCCACAGGCTTCCATCAAGGATGCCACCTCTGGCAAGGGCTTTCATCCCTTCCCATTCTCCCTCCTCCTCACTATCCCTGCAGCGACTTGTGGTCTTGGCATCCACCCACAAGCTGCCTGTGCTGCCCCAGGCCTGATTCCAGATACTGTCAGATAATTCCAGAATAATCCTGCAGAGGCTGAAAGAAAGAGACTGAATCCCAGGCAACTCGCCTGGGTGGGGCCCCTTCCAGACAGCAGCTGGGGGTGATGCTGAAAGAAAGGCTCCAGTGTCCACCACATAACCCATCTTAGAGTCCCTGGGGATTGCCCAGAGACGGCCCCTGTCTCACCACCCAGGGCATCAGAGTTCCCCAGGGGGGCCCTTGGGGATGCCAGAGCAGTGTCGCAGCTTGCCTCTCTGCAGTCAGAGCAAAACCCAGAGCAGGCTCAGGGCTGAAGCACTGACAGAGCATCTCTGAGACATCCGGGTCGGTATATACACTGCCCTCCGTGGTGGCATGTGACTACAGACTTCTCCCGTCTGTGGACCTCACCAATTGTGACCATCACAGCAGACAGATGGAGGAGTCCCAGACTCCAGCGACCTGGGGTCCAAACAGGTGACCATCTGTTGGACAAGTACTCTGGGAGCAGAGGAGCAGAGTTTCTTTTAATCAGGATGGCTGAGTAGAGCAATGGCTTTGGGAATTCTGTCACATCAGCGTTAGATAACATAGTGGTCAAGAGCTGTCAGACAAACAAAGATGGACACTAGTTCAAGTGGCAAGGACAGATATTAATCAGTAACATACTATTGCAACAGGGAAGAGGGCCCGCGTGAACGGACCAACTTCCATGTGGCACTCTAAAGGGAGGGCACTCTAAAGGGAGGGCGCTCTAAAGGGAGAATGAGGGAGCGGGGAGAGGGAGCTGTGGGGGAATTTCCTCCTAAATTTACACAAGGCGCAAGTCGGCGCTGGTCCATCTGGGGTTGCTAACTGGTGCTTATGGAAATTAGGCTCCTAGCCTCCCACAGAGCCTGGGAGACAAGGGCCCTATCTTGGCTGGAACAAACAGGACCTTCTTTGGGCAGCTTTGAGTTTTCTCAGGCAGGGACTTGCATGGAGGCTGGGGTCATCCCAGGGATGCAGCCTTGAGCTGTTAAAAACTGTGTTAACGTTTGTTCAAATCTTTTGATGTGGTGGGGGTAGGCTACATCATTTGTGCTGCGAGTCTGCAGGTTTTATGGGTCATGGTTGAGGCCTAGTCAAGAAGAGAGCTTAGAGAGGCCTAGCTAGAGTTTGGTCAAGGAGAGAATCTTTGTCAGCTACGGTTCTGGATTCAAATGGCCCTGGGTTTGAATCCTGGCTCTGTGACAGACTAGCTGGACAACACTGGGAGGCAATGGGTCATCTCGTAGAGTTGGTTTTCTCAGTTGAAAAGTGGAGAGAACAGCACTCCCCTCCTGGGATTGTTTGAGGACTAAATGAGATGACACACGGTTTATAAGGAGCCTGTAGTCCATAACAGCTTTTTATAAGGCTGGAGTCCAGAGGGGGCTAAAGAAAGGCTGTGCTCAAGTTGAGATATGGGCCTGTGGGGGCTTCATCAAGGCTGAGGACCAGCTAAGACTGCAACACTTCTCAAACTATAATGTGCAAACAAATTAACCTGGGGATCTGGTTAAATGTGATACCGAACCTCTTAATCTCAAGTTCATGTGCCCCATGCCCAGCAAGCCAAACACTGAGACATCGGTGCTTGGAGATGAGACAGGTTTATTCGAATTGGCAAAACCAGTAGGTGGGAGCCTGGGTTCGCTCAAATCCACCTCCCCAAGA